ATTTCTTCATCTGAGATATGCTTATAGACTTGGTTTCAGATAAATCGCAGACAATTCCAAGAAATCACTGAAATGGTATATAATTTAGACGAAGAAGCCCGGAAAAGAATCAGCAAAGAATGTCGAAAGTGTACTCACTAACAAACAGATATGAAGAAATTCAGCGGGGGATCAGTATTCCCATTATTTTTACTCCTTTTCCATATTATAGATGGAGTAGATTCAGGTAAGCAGTGAAAATTTTAGGAATCGGAAAATTATTTTATATTAGTATGTATTTATAATTGGCTTCTAAATTATCTTTTTATCATCATGGGATACTCGTTTGTACCACCGAAAGTTTGTCATTCATCTATGTTCTATGTTGAACAATGTATGCAGTAATTTAGCGGCATCGAATTTCGGCATTTGAGTGACTGGTCTGTAACGTTTTGAATAATTCCTGTTGATTCAAACTACAGCTGAACGTTCTGTCAAGCTTTTATCAGAAAACTTTTCTTTGAGTATGCCTTGAAATCAGATATATGTGCTCCTGCAGACAATGAAAACGGATGCTTTTCTGACGCCATGCTAACCCAGGGAAAAAAGAAGAAGCTCGATTAACCAGCTAGCTATTGAATTCCGCTACAGACGTACAGAAGACTAGCATGTCATCATATGGGTAGATTTGTAAAAACTATCGACCAGATTCAAAAACATGTGACCCGCTCCGAGGACAGAAAAGCTCTACCTCTAAGGCAATTTGGTTGTCCAAAGTTTCATTCATAAATCGCAAGTGCCACTAAGACAAGGAGCTCGCGCGCATATCCAGTTGAATCCAAATTCAGACATTTTTTATTATTTTGTAGATTACTATATTATATCGCATTGGTCCTTGATGCCACTAATAGCTTAGAGAGGATCGCCCTTTAAATGCCTACTTAAGTTGAAGTATACACCGCGCTAAATCTCATATTGGTACCAAAGTACGATAAAACTCGTTATTCGTATACTTACCCGTTTTTATAAATCTCATGTAGATTAAGTCAGTACAGATTTTTAAAACGTACTTCTCAATTACAAACTCAGCTAATTTTGTTAATCTCATAGTTTTGTAGTGTTCACTGTCGGTTAGTATTAGATAATTTAACAGTGTATGATGCTCATATCACTGTTGCGGTAGTCCGATCAGGAAAAAGATAAATAAATAAGTGTGTATACGTAACAACAATTATTATTGTTATAATCAAGAACCAACACGTGAGCTTGATTTATGTTTATTCTTCAGTACCTCTTCCCTTCAGTCATTTAAAAAGCAAGGCTCTCACAAGGGCATCAATATTACTGTTCAGATAAATAAATAAATAAATAATAAAATAAATCAATATTTCGGGTATACAGCGTGATTCAAAGATGACGCCCAAGCTGTACCATGCCGAAACGAAAACTTATAATTAAATTCTGTACCTAGGGTTGCAGCGAAAACAAAAAAATATTAAATTCAGAAATGGCGTCGAAAACTTCTTCCAGAAACATACCATTTTCGGCAAAAATGACTCGTACTTTGCAATACTTGAACATTTCTTTCGAAAATTTATACAAGATAACAGCTGAAATTCGAATTTCAACTTTGTCTATAGGTAATATTCTTTATTTATAACTTATTGAAATTTGTAAGCATTTGAAAAGAAAAATCACCATCTTTACTTCAAATTATAAGTTTTTTATATTAAAAAAGTACTTTTCTACAATCTTTTGTTGAAAAGTCAAAGCGGCTATGATGTTTTTTGTCATTAACAGATAGTTGCAGGTATACATCCTTTGCAACAAACTGTGACTTAGTTTGATTCTCCGTCGACAAAACGTCCACCAACATCGAATTTGCTGACATGCGATTAGTTATAGAAAAATTTGACAGTAACATAGCAGAAGCTGTAAGAACTTACACCAGGAAAAGACTAGAAACACTGTTCTATAGGCTCCAGGAATTGACGCAGATAGTGAACAATTTAGAGGTATCAAGTCTAAAGGAACAGGTATTGGAGATAATTGGAGATGAGCCTTCCAGGAGTACTTGCCGCATTGCACAACAACTAACTCTTTCTCAGGCACCGGAGTATTGTCCCGATGTCTCCCCGGAGAAAAGGCTTTTTACTTGTACCTATGACTATGATGTAAGATACACAGGACACAAGGATATACATACTACGAGTATATGAAGCACATGCAGAATATTTTCCAATCGCTGGATTCACGGTCGAGGGGTTACTGGATTGTCTGACTAGCACGTTCACTGGACCTTCCATCACTTGATTTCCTTCTCTGGGTTATTTTAAGAATAGAGTATATTAAAATCAATTCGAATATACTAAGGACAATGGGGACTCTTAGAAGACGTATGACCAAAAATTAAATTTTGGTTCCAAATATTCTTAGAGCGTACAATAGTATTTATCTGAGCGTTGGAAATCAATTAGGTGAATGACAAATATGTCACTGTTCTTCTGTTCTTGACAAATAATTTGCACTTGTCAATGTCAAGGGAATGAGTAAAATACAATATACGTACACCAGCAAAGAGAGATTTTAATGAGCTTTTGATGGGATCCCATGTGACCTATGTTATGAATTAACGCATAACTATTGATTTTATGAGACTTCGTCATCAAGCTCTACAACCCTGGGTGGGTCTTGGCTGACTGTATAACCTTCCGGCAATAGGCACGGTCTTCCATTAATCCAAATGAGTTACGAGGTACCCAATAACTTATGATAATTCTAATACCAAATCTGTCTACATCAGCTTGCCTGCCTCAGCCAAATACAAAATTCTATTTTATATATATATATATTAAATATATACTAGGTACATATATAATAAGTAAAGACGACACTAGAACTGTCTTCCTTGTCAAAATCGACGCCTAGTAGAGATATCTAAAAACCACTGTTTTTAAGTATTCTTTCCGGTGCACAAATCTTATTTACAAAACATTTGAGTAAATTTTTATAATAGCTATACATTGCTCGTAATTGCTGGACATTTATAACGTTTTTTTTTAAATATTCACATTATTTCCTGATATCCGTTGCTTGGTTAAATTCTAAAGAACATGTCTAGAATAATGATGAATAACGCAGATGGAAATAGCTCAAATATGTCAAGAAATCGCATTTATAAGCAAAGATCGTGAACTTTTTGTTGGCCTTTGGCATATTGTAATGTGGAACAGTAATCTAGGACAAACAGATTTGGCCTGAATCCAAGATCGATAAACTATAAAACCATGTGCTCTATTAATTCTAGGAAATGTCAGCACTTAGAAATATACTTCGCCGTTATGGTATTTAATATTTTTGCCACACAAACTAGCCCCGAAACGCAACGCATTAAATACACGGTGATAAAGTAATACATTAACGAACTTCAATTTTCGACTGTAAATATCTTCTATCTACTCTCCAAGTGAGTCCCTGTAACTCCTGAAAAGGAATGACGCCAATTTTGAATCACACTATATATTGGGACACAGATATTCAGGATCCAATGTTGGGGTGGACGAAACGGTTTAAAGATCGATTACGACCTTGTTATTACTCAATATTGAAGAAGGATGACTGTTCGATTAAAAGAATTTAAGTACATCTAAACCTTCTACTAAAATATCGGACATTTTATAAATATGGACATCGTCAGGTGAGATTTTGTTTCTATGAAAATTAACGGCAACAAAAATTCGATGAGTTTGCATTAATTTTGAGTCCAAAAATCTAGTAAAAAACGCCAATATTAAAGATGTGTTAAATCCTGCCGGTTGATAAGGTAGAAATAAACTTTATGCTGGCGGCAAATATTCTCATGTTTAATTTTTACTATCTAAGGAAAGCTGCTAAGCTACGATCGCAACAAGTTGCCCGTTTAACATTTTGTTTTTGGAATAAATAGCAGGTTTTCGATTTATAAATATTGTTTTTCTGTATTTTCTTGTTCACCTTAACCCTCCAGCGGGCGCGCCCGTGGTAAAATACCGCATTTTTTAGATTTTTTGTTATAAATACTATGCATTAAAACTGCCGCAGTCGTTATTCCAGGTATTCGTTCCCGATACATTTGTCCCTTCATTTCTATATCAAACAGATCCTATTTCGGTCGGCATTAGTTGCAGAGTGGCATTTAGTAAGAGTGTGCAATTTTTGCGGCTAATTTGCCGCGGCGCGCCTGGTCATGTAAGTATAATAATAATATATTTATGGAGTTTTTTTGTYACGAATTGAGCATATKTTRATACACATTTATCGTGTTTGGTTCTTTATGGTGACGTATTGTAGATGTATGTCGTTTAAGCTAAAAAAAATTATATAGATTTTTTAATTTATGTTACAAGTCGAAAAAAGTTGAGTCCGGACGAATTAGGAAAATCGTTGCCATATGTGGTGAGATAATTAGAAGATAAGCAGAATAAGATCTACAATAGAACATTAACGTGAATAGAAGTCACATAATTGATACTGAAAGTAACGTTTATAGTAGTGATTTCGAACAATAAGCAGATGAAGGAGAAGCAGAATTTGAACCACGGGAACAGGAAAAAACAATGATATGTACTTCAGATTTTTTTTTTAGATTTTTTACATATATATTTAATTTTGTTAGCATTTTTTCAAGTATTATTTGTAGAATTGCACCTATTTTTGGTTGCTTGTTTTGATTTCACTTATTAAATACATTTTAAAGTAGTCAATGACGTTTTTTTTAAAGAAAAGCATTTGCGGTGCAATAGCAGCGACGCGCCCGCTCGTGAGATTTTAAAAGGCTCGCCCGCTGGAGAGTTAATGAAAATTAATTATCAAACATGTATGAAGGAACATCTTCCAATTGTTTATCCTTCTAAATTCCTTTATAATTTTTTCAGGGCAAATTTCAGGTTTGGAAATCATAATGCCCCCTTCGCACGTAGCCCTTAGCGGAGATTTGCATATCAAAATCGTATCATCATCCTTTCTACCTCTTGTGGTCCAAGTTTCTCGTCTGGAAGGCAGTTCCGTTCACCCACTAACTACGTTTCCTGTTTATCCAGAAGCCAGTGCGCTGAAGAAAAATTTGACGTTGGTTAGAGTCCAATGTGGATATTTTTCTCGTGGCGGACAGTACTATGTACAAATTAAAAAGCAGCCTATTTTAAGTAAGTAATATTCTATAGTATAGCAACAGTTGTCTCATCGTTGTCTTCTCAATCGTTGTCTAAGAATTCCATAGGTTAAAACAGGAAGAACATACCAAGAAAGTCACCAACATGCCCATTTTCCATGAAATTGTTTATTTTAAAATAATGTTTGTAAAATTATTACAGTAGTCATTATAACATACCTTGTCGCATCAAATTCTCATTGAAATGAAGTAACCCCTTTTAAGCCTATCTGAAATTATTGACCACTAACTGTATACCTAATCCCAGCCAATCATCAATCAGAGAACTATCGAATTACCCGGTGTTATAAGAAAATTATTTTTTCAATTGCTCTTTTGGTCAACACAATCACAATAAGTTTAGAAACAGCAGCTGGCCGATCTCAATGTAAGTATTTATAAAGTTGTAAGAACTTACAAAGCTAAGCTTTGTCAGCTTTAGAGGCTTTTCAACGATTTATTATACCTATAATTTTTTGTTTTATTTTATATGTGTTTTCTTAGGTATCAACTCAAGTGATTCTGAAACAATAACCAAAGTGATTGACGTGCGATGGCCAATGCCGCAGCTTACCGTTACGCCTGAAAACTTGAAGACGTACCCGGAAAATCCAGTTACATCGATCCTAACTTTTCCAGAAGTGGAATGTCTACCGGTGCAAAACACCCCTCCATCAGCGTTACCAGAATTTTGGCTCGAACTACATTACTGTGGACACTCGCTTTTAAATTGCGGAGATGGAAGCAGTTCCGAGCAAACCAATACGACCAGTCATCAGGTAACTCGCGGCTTAGTAACAATTCGGTTTTAAGTATTTTCGTTACTTCTAAAAGAAGTTTCAAAATAGATATTTTCTAAAGTTTTTTGACATTTAAAAGAGTTTGAATGCAGTTGTCCATATTCAAGGTTCTCTACTCCGAACAAGTAAGAGGTCTTCCAGGCAGAAGAGTGTTTATATTTCGATGCGAGTTATTTGGCTTATCAGGCCATTACTCCATAATTCTGAGACCTACCAGTTCCGATCCCGCAATACCCAGGACGGCCGCTTATGTTAAGGTAACAGTTTTTATTTAGGCTGAACAAATTTGTTGCTTTGTTTGCTGTTCCCATCAAAGAAATATAACTAAAGATATTCTCCACGCAGACCCGTTTCTGAAATATTAATTAATGTTCACGCAATCCAATAGTGATAATCGATGTTAAGCTAATTATGTTTTAATGCGAAAAATTGATGATGATAGATGCCGAAGATACGCGCAAAACGTAATGGATAAAAGGTGATTAAGGGTTCCGAAAAAATTTACACAATGGTAATTGGGAATTTTAAAAAGTGCTTAATAACTTGAAACGAGTTGGGCAGATTTTATATTTTAAGAGCAACATCATCAGGAGGGTTTTTGAGTTACAGATTAATAAGCGATAATAGATAGCATTAATCAAGCGCGAAGTTACAAAGACAATAGAGAATGAAGTTCATTACTACTGTAGTTCGCGTAGGATAAGCAAATAACCCTCGGTTACCCAGCCAAACTAAAATGTCTTGAAATGTGCAAACAAAATATTTCATTTTGATATACAAGGCATTGTTTCTTACTTTGAATTCTGTTTACAAAATAGTATGTACAGGGTGTCCTATTTTCGAAACTTTTATTAGACACCTATAGCCGTAATTGTTAAGACTATTAAAAAAGTAGTATAGGTGTCAGGAGCTTCTTTTAGGTCCTTCAACTTAAAATTGAAAATTCAAAATTAAAAAATGTTTGTTCGTTATACAGGTACAGGGAATAATCGAAAAGTTATAAATTTTAAAATGACCGTATGTTATAATATTTGTATACAGGGTGATTTACGTAGACCGTGCATTAGAAATATTTCTTTAGTATTAAATTAGAATAAAAGTTCAGATAAAGTGTATTTATCCAATAATTTTTTTACCTGGCAATATGAAATATTGTTCATAATGTGTTTCCCCCACGGGCTCTTCCGACACACGGCATTGATCTAATCATAATTCTAATCGGGTTGGAATTTCTTGAGGCAGATTGTTTCAACTCCCAGCGTCTCAGTAATAGCAGCTTTTATACTGAATAGTAGGACTTAGTGGTCGATCCGCCATACATATTAGATTGGACTGAGACCTGGAAAATATGCAGGTCAATCCACGTGAGGTCGTGCATCATCAGTCATTAGCTAGAAGTTAACTTCGATATATGAAGCGAAAGGTACAACATTTTCTTGAAGGACTCGTATATACCGATTTGTATTTAACGCGCTATTAATGATTACTATTCGTGCCCCTAAACATGGCCCACAACATAGAATAGTCTAGAGAATCTACCACAGGAGACACTGGGTGTGAAATTAAGTTGCTCACGTTGTTCTCATCTGAGGTGAAATAATATTTCCCTGCTATCTGTCGAATTTACATTTCGTGGTTTTCATGAATGAAGAGCACCTTGGCCTATTGATTAATATACTAATTTCAATGCTGCGAGCGCAATTCAGCATTGCGACATGATGAAGTCTTCGAAACTTTGGTGCTTTTTGGATGTATGGACTGTTATTCGAGCTTCATAGAGCCTTCTTCTAATAAAAAGTTATAAACAAAAATAGTATATTACGGAACAAGAGACGAAAGTCGAAGTTTCGCCACTGCTTGAAATTAACCATGCACGCAATGGCGAGCCTTCGACTTTTGTCTCGCGTACCGTATACTATTTTTCTTGATCCTCGGTGGAAATTAGCCTGGTATAAAGTATAAGGTTCTGAAAAAAAAATTTGAAAATGTTGTCAAAACAGTCAGCTGACAGTCAGTAATAAAGTCATGCTGTCAGCGTGCGTGACGAAAGTTATTACTTTCCACACGGGATGGAGAAAGTTTGTAATGGGTAAAAGTTATGCTTTCGCTATCGAAAACAGTGGTGAAAGTATGTACTTTCCACCAGGGGACCAAGAACAAGACATTTTTTTGTTTTTCTGCAATACGGTGTTAATAACAAACATATGGACCGGAAATGCGAGTGAAAAACACATACCTATTCACCTGCTCATTAATTCAATTATATCATCACACAATTGGTTTGCTACTAGTTTTTATGTCACGATAAAGCAGTTTCAAATATCTATAGTTTGGCCTAGTTATTGCTAGCGAACAAATAGGTTCAAAATTAAACAGTTCAGAATAATTTGCCATTGTACTATATTTTTTTCCACTGGGCGCTTGAAAATAATCATAGCTCCTCTCAGAATTCCCCAGGGATTACTGTGCATTAATACTTTTAACTAGACACATTCATGATGGGTCTAAGATTCAACACTCGTGAAAACACGACACTTTTTGCCATTGCATTAATTGCCAAAGAGTACATAGAATCGAGTCTATACCATTCCATATTGAGTTTCGCAGAAACGCCACCTGCTTTATTTACAACCGTGAGACAGAGCAGCAGCCCACAAATTGAAGTAATTAATATTTTCGGTCAATTTTGATTGACTGGTCATTTTTGGCTCAATGTTAATTGGCATAAGAGTTACTTTTCGAAAAATTGAAAGTGTGTTAAGACAGTTTACTTTCAGGTCGACTGGAGTGACCAATTCGTCTTCAACGTTCATGCACATTCAATTTTCCCATGTGAAACACACAATGGAGGGGTTAAAGTTCTATTTCAATACCCATCCTGCATTTTGGCAAGTGGTGATCGCGTTCGCCTATTTGCAAGACTACGAGCAAATGTAGCTTCTTTGGCTCCGCCCACGACATTGGAATACATTGCGGAACAGAAGGTTAGTAATCTGTGTATATAGCAAGGTATTTTCAATAGATCAAATATTATTGGTAAAAACAGGATAATGACTTAACTGAGTGAAGCGCGTAACAAAGTCCAAGTGGAGATCCAATCCGCATTGCTTTAATCAGCAATTAAAATGTTCCTGTCTGTCTGTTCAATGTTTGCAACTAAACGGCTTTTAATTATATTGCAATAAAAAATTAACAAGGTGTCAAGAGCAGCTCGTTAAAAATCCACTCGACACTTTCCGTTTCACGACATTACTGTTTAGAAGGATTAACACTGTTAAAAGAAAACAAATTAACCTTTGTTCACAAATTATATCCTAACTTTATAATTGGAACCTACACTATTGTAGTCATGGACGCGTTAAAAACAAAAATAACTATAAAAAAATTTCAATCACTGGGTTTTAATCTTGAGGCCTGCAAATACATGCTGTATGATTTTATTAAATAATATTATTTAATTATACGAGACATAATATTTTAATTATTTTTTTGACCACAATTTGAATACTATCTATACTAATAGGCAACTGAACTGCACGATTATTTCTTCAACGTGTGTGCGTTAATCTTAATCAATCTGTATTATTTTTTCCATATATTTACTTAAATTTAAATTAAAATTATGATGTTTGCATAATTACGTTATAGAATTAATAGTGTGTGCCAAACAACATTTTTTATTTTCTTCAGTTAGGGAAAATTTTTTGTTTTACAGGTAATAAGGGGCCAACATACTTTAAATTTCGAGTGCCATCTCTTTACGGAAAGGTACATAGAATACTGTTTTGTCTACGTGAGCCAAAGTATATCAGGAGCAGTAGCAGATGTTCGTGAGGATTGTGTACCTACTCTGCCAGTTTCAGGTAAATACCACTCAAATGCTCTAAATCTAAGCAACACTTGCCCAAAATACTGCTAGATAATGGTTATCATTCAAATGCATAAGAGTGCTACACTAATTAAGTCGGTCTTTAAATGTGAACCGACACGAACTGAGATCGAAAACACACAAGAATGTGTCCTCTGCCAGGTACAATTGTTTCATTTTATTCGAGTCGCACCTCCGCTATGGCTCTAATTTTTGAGACAACAGCACACAGAATCTTCACAGAAAATTTATGGCATTTGGAAGTTGTGGGAGAGAGCAGTTTGCGACTTTTAAGGATGGCTTTTAGGATCCTGTATTTTGGGGAGGGTTGGTGCAAATTTTAGGCATAGAAACTTGTCAAGGTATTTTCACACCCCACATACGTATCCGAAAGCAGGTCCATATTTACCGGGACACTCTATACACTTTTTTAAGAGCCAAATAGACCATATGTGCCCATAATTATGAAAGTGGTCTAAGTCATATATTTCTTGTTTCGAGATATTTAATGAATTAAATTGAAAAATATCTTTACATTATGCGACTTTTTTATTTCAAATTTTATTAGTCTTGATTAATCGAAATTTATTATCAATTTCAAATTTCATTTATTATCAAATGAAATTTTGTGTGAATTAGAAATATGAGTTTTATTTGAAACAATAATTTTGTTGAAATAATTTATGAACATTTATATACAGGGTGATTCAAAATTGGCGTCATTCCTTTTAAGGGGTGATAGAGGTTTCCTTGGGGAGTACGAGAAAAATATTTAAAAAAATGTTTTCCAAAATTTCTGGATATTAAGATATTGTACCGTGGATGACCGAGTATTAAACTCTTTCTTCTGCTTCCAACTTTTATTCCACTCGGTACAACTTTAACTACGGAACAGGAGCAAACTAACTTCTAAATTAACGTCAACTTCACAAACAATAACAATAACAAACGGAAAACACGCGTTTCCGACTCGCGGGGTTTAGCCTCTTCTGCACTCGGACGCAGCTGTCACTTCACTCACTCTGTGTGGTTCTCGTCGTCGCTTATATAGTTTCCTCCAGGTATTCCAGATAGTTCTCGAAATCTCCAGAACAGGTGCGAAACTTCCCGCCTGTCAGTGTCATATTTGACAGTAAATGGGGCCCAAATGGGGCTCCCAATTACTGAAATACCATGAATTTCGATCCCCCCTTCCAAACGTGAGTACCCCAGGCCATTTCCGTTACAATATTAACAGTTGAAAATCGAATTTTACCTTTGTTATTAAGCATTATTTTGAAATTGTTCCATGTTTAATTGGTAGCATATTGGAATACTTAAGCATTCAAAAAGAAAAATTACGATCTTTGCTTCAAATTA